GCAACCCGAGGTAGCAACTGATGACGGGACACATAAAAAGATTCGAGGAAAACATCTCGTCGACAAAATCTACTCGTAAGCTCAGAATCGCTTCGAGTAATTTTGGGGAGGACTAGATGATATAGACACACTGGCTCATAACGGTTCATATCATCATGGTCCGAAGCTATCGAGTCGACTTCAACTTAGTCGACTCCTCCAGTAAGGTTCCACGATACACAATCAAGAATCCCGGCTCTCGACCGAGTCGACGTACACTCGTCGACTAGAATAAGTCGACCTCTGGCAAGACAACGATCGGACGTATCAGGGTCCACTAACGGTTGAATATGGTCCAGTCGACTCGGCTCAGCATCTCGGGTCGACTGAAGAAGTCTTGCGGTTCGTGGTTCTCGATAGCTTTGACACACCTCAGCGCATGGAGGAAGAGTTAAGGATAAGAAGGAAGCCAAGGAAGGATCTAGATGCTGACTAGGAAGTAGGCAGAATACGAACCGACCGGGGTATTCTGGACATTTCCAGTAAGTCGGTCGGGCACTTTGGGGACTTCAGGTAAATATTACACTTCTATATAAAGGACTGAGGTAATCCCAAAACCCTAACCCCCATTCATTCCATATTCTTTCATTACTGCTGTTGCTCTCATAGCAGCTCTCCTGATCTCTTTCACATACTGACTTGAGCGTCGGAGGCTCTACGCCGGAAACCCCTCCGGCGTTGAGTTCTTGCAGGTGTTCTTGCGGCCCAACAACGGTTCGAACGCCATCACATCAGATCTAAGCTCATTCACACCGGTTCATCCCAGATCCGGACGTTTTCCCACTGGACCGTTCCAGATCTGAGAAGAGACCCATCACAATATATTTTTAAATTAAATAAAATTATTTAAATTAATATTATATAGATTAAATAATATTATTTTAAATTAAATTAGGTTACATTAAACAGTATTTTTAGAAAAATAATATTTAAGTTAATATTTTATAGATTAAATAATATTATTTTAAATTAATATTTTATAGATTAAGTGAAATTATTTTAAATTAAATAAGATTATTTAGAATAAATAATATTATTTTAGTTTTTATTAAACTATTTTAAATTAAATAAAATTATTTTATATTAAACAATTTTTTTGAATTAAACAAAAATATTTAAATTAATATTTTATAGATTAAATTATAATATTTTAAGATGGAATTTATGGTGCATTTTTATTTTTTATTTTTTAAAATCAAGATTGAGACACAAAAGATATCAATACTACTTTTTGTAAATTACATTATTAAAAAATTCACCAATCAATATTAGCTGGCATTTACCAATATATTATCGAGGTAATTCGAGCGAATTGTGCAATTAAGTACTCTAATTAAGAGAATATTGTAGACTTCATCTTCAATATTTTTATTCTATATATTATTATTATTATTATTATTATTATTATTATTATTATTATTATTATTATTATTATTATTTTCTTTTGTATTTTGCTTCTGTTTACTGAAATAATAATTTTTTTTCTGAGGTGCAATCGGCATATAATATTGACACAGGCCTATGTTTTTTTTTTCAAATTAATTTAATAACTTATTATATAGATATCTCGGATCTTACTCGTGAATCACATATACCACATAGCCAATTAAAAATATCTGAAAAAGTTACCATTCATTAATTTATATTTATCAGAAACTATATATGTTTTGATCCAAAATTATGCCTAATATTATTAGAAATAAAAATATCAAAATGATAATACCCAAAAGATTATAAAAAGAAAAAAATATATTACGAGATTCCTAACAACTTTCCAATTCGAATTAAAAATGAAAGGATATAAGTTATACAGTCCAAAACATGAAAACATTCTTTCTTTTTCAATTTTATTATTATTATATTTTTATTATATATAATATATTGTGCTATCAAAAAAATATTTAGATAGGTGGATGTAGCCTAAGGGTTTAAACGAGCCAAACTTATCTCGAGCTATAAAAAATTATATATAGAAAAACATCTATTTGAGTTTTGGCTAGCTAGTTATAAAAACGAGTTTTAAATAAACACGAGCTCGAACTCAGCTCACGAAGCAAGGTACTAAACGAACACAAAAAAAGACTCAATTTCGTTTAATAGCTACAATGTGTGCCTCAAAATCAAGATTCTTAAAAATTCGCCTCATCTTCACAAATTATAGAGTGTGACGCTTGTATTAAATTCAATATATCATCCTTAATAAGTTTCATAAAGTATAAAGTAACATTTTTTTAATTAAAATCGGTGGCTAATTGATTTGGTAGAAAATAATCAAATATATTAA